TGATGGTGTTAGTCTTTCAGTTTCAAAGGAAGCAGCATAGTGGATTATTGTATCAAAAAATATATTCTTTTTTTAAAAATTGATTAATTAATTAATTTATTTATTTATGGCTGCATTGGGTCTTCATTGCTGTGCGCGGGCTTCTCACTTTGGTGGCCTCTCCCGGAGGGCATTATGCCAAGTGAGGCAAGTCAGACAGAGAAAGACAAACACTGTACGATCTCACTCATATATGGACTCTAAAAATGTTGAACTCAAAGAAGCAGAGAGCAGAATGGTGGCTGCCAGGGGCTGAGGAGTGGGGAAAATGGAGAGATGCTGGTCAAAGGGTACAAACTTTCAGTTGTAAGATGAATAAGTTCCAGGGATCTAATGTACACCATGGTGACCATATATAGTTAATAATACTGTATTCTTGAAAGTTGCTAAGAGAGAGGATCTTAAATGTTCTCACCACAAAAAAGAAATAGTAATCATGTGATGTGATGGAGGTGTTAGCTAATGCTAAGGTGGTCATCATTTTGCAAAATACAAGTGTTTCAAACCAACACACTGGACACCCTAAACTCACAGGATGTTATATGTTAATTATATCTCAACAAAGCTGGAAAAATACTAAAAAAATACAAGTGAACAAAATTCAAAAATACAAAAAATAATACAGATATGGAGAATAAAATGCAAAAGTTCAATAGATCTATAATAAGACTCCGAAATGTATACTCCCAGCTTGCCATTGTCTCTTGAACTTCAGACTGTAATATTCACACTAACTAATAATTGTACTTGGATAATCCATTGACCTTACATGTATTCATTTATTCAACTAACAAAAATTTAAAAAATAAGATTCACCAAATTTAACTTTTCATGTACTCAATCTACAGCTTCTCCCAAACAATCATAAGATCTTACTGCTTGAAACTTTGTTAAATGAAGCCCTTTCTCTACATCCCGTTTCACTATAGAAGGTAGCTTAAAGTGCCCTGCCCTTTTGTCTGTATCGCTGCAACAGCCTCCTAAATGTGTCTTTATGGGTCCAGTCTTGCCCTGCTTTGAATCTATTCTCTCCTTAGAAGCCCAAGTAATCTTCTAAAGTGCAAGCGTAATCATGTCACCTCTCTGTTTGAACCCTATCAAAGACTCTCCATTGCTCTTAGGAAGAAAAGTCTAGGTCCCTGACACGGCTTCCAAGGACTCACTTCCGCTGACTCTGCAGCCTCAGGCTTACTCCGCCCTCCCCGGCTCCCACCCCCGCCAACTTCACATGGCCACACTGCACACCTCTGCAGCCCCTTCTGTGACATGCCCCCTGCTATTCTAGCCCTCCTGACACAACCTCATGTCTGTTCGCCTTTGAATCTCCCCTTAGGCTTTGGGACTTTCTTTGACCTTCTGCCTTTAAGACTGGGCAAAAATGCCCCTCCTCTGTGCTCCTCTAGAGCTGGCACTAAGTTCCATCCTAACACGGACCCAGGAACTCTCCTCCTCTGTTGACCTACATCCTCTATAACAGCGGTCCCCAACCTTTTTGGCACCAGGGACCCATTTTGTGGAAGACAGTTTTTCCACAGACCCCGGAGGCGGGGGCGTGCAGGGGGATGGCTCAGGCAGTAATGCCAGCAATGGGGGGATGGCTCAGGCAGTAATGTGAGCGATGCAGAGCAGCAGGTGAAGCTTCAGCTCACCTGTCCACCGCTCACCTCCTGCTGGGCAGCCGGCTTCCTAACGGGCTGTGGACTGGTACCAGGGCTGGGGACCCCTGCTCTACAAGACCCTCAACTTGCGGGCAAGTGCTGTGTCTAATCTACAGTTGTATTCTCAGTACCTAGTCCAGGGCACAGCACATAGTAGGCATTCATCAGATATTTGTTGAATAAATCAAAAGAGTAAAGTGGAGAAATGAAACTGTCCACATTAGTAATAATTTTGGTAGTTGAGAATAATTTTCATATTTCTTTCACTGGTTTTCTTCCTAAATCACTAAACTCAAATTTTATGTATAACCATTTCTAGAAGAGGCTCCATTTAAATTTTGCAAAAAAAGCTGAATAACTTCTGTTTTAAAACTCAGACGTGGCAAAAGGATCTTTAAATACAATTTAGTGAAGAATTTGGAAGGTGAGAGATATTGGTTGCCCTTATATTGAAAAAAATATGTATTTATAAAAGGTTTATCACAGTCCCTGGCACAGAGAAGGTTCTTGATAGTGTTAAGTGAATTTGTCTTTCTGTGCTGTCAAAACACTAATTTCTCCCAACCTCCCTGTTTTCTCAGCTTCCCTGTTCTCCAAAAAGGAGGGTGATAAAAACCACTCCTCATGTACACACACAGAAGGAAGAGGCATGGCCAAAGACAGAGATATAGCCTTGTTTAGTTCAAATGTTGAACCTTAAAAAAGAACAAAATAAAAAAATTTTAAATTCAACTACTATAGGTTATGCTTCAGAAATGGGGTCTAGAGGAGTCTGTGTGAATTTCTGTCACTCAGGCGAGAGGGCCCCTCCTCAGAGCCAAGTTAACTATGGCTAGCTCTGGTGGGGACGATGCAAACAATAGTAAGAATAATTGAGGATGTCATCAATACTAGAATTACAACTAGAGGAATACCTGCCACAGAGGGAAAGTATGAATACATGGAACTTTGACCTTGACTGCCGCAGGTGTTTACCTGCAGTAACACATCTGGGGAAAGAGACCACAATTCAGGGTGATCAGCACAGGTACTTCTGTGTTCATTATGTGGGGTGTGTGTGTGTGTGTGTGTGCGCGCGCGCGTGGCTTGTGGACATCTTAGCGTGCAAGACACAGTCAAGCCAAATGAAGACAGTTATCAGAGGATGAGGAGTAGAGATACAGAAACAATGGTTTTATTTTTCTGTGCAAATGTGCAAAAGCCATAGTCACACACAATGCAATTGAAAGTACAGAAGAAGACAGAGAAAAGGGAGTGTTTTTAAGTCAGCTATGACAAGACATTGGAAAAAAGAAAAGCAACTACTGACAATTACAGTGACAACAGAGCCATCAGAATTGTACCGAGAAAGAGATGGTGAGTGATTCTTAAATATATTTGGAAGGAAACATGTTACATTTGGAATGACCTGTAAGTATATAATTATGGATATGCCCAATGGGAGCAAATGTGAAAACTGTACATGTGGTCTTTGGCTGTATCAATTTTATGCTTACTTCAGATAATATGGGAATGCAAATATTGATGGGAAGGTTTTCCCCACGTCTCTTGCCATGAAATCTAGCTTTGGAACAGATCAGCTGAGATGGTAGGATGGCACATACTGTGTGGAGGCGAGGGGAGCAGGGAGTAGAAAGGAAAGACTTCAACATGAGTCTCTCCCAGTTAAGTGCCTGCTAGCACTCCACAGGATAAATTTGCTGCATAAAATCTTCTATTATTGTTGAAAAATAAAACTGAAGATATTTCCTTTTCTTTTATAGTATACTACTTTGTAATTTTGATTTCATGGTATAGTTAAGTTTACCTTGGTAATTTCCAAAGAAAAACAAGTTTCTTGAAACAATTGGGACTAAATGAGTATTGGATATCACCCAATGGATAAATTACCCTCATATTTTCAAACCAGGGCAGCTCCTAAAGACACAAACACATTTACAAAATGATATTTGGTGGGCCATTGTTATTATAGTTGCTTTCTAAATTAATTCATAGGATCAAATTAGTTTCCCTTTAAATGAACACAAATAATGGCTCCTTTGGAAGGTATATCCACACAAAGATATTTAGCATAAATGATAACATGCAGTGTGGAAGCAATAAAAATATTAGCAAATAAAGTTATTTTCTAATTACTATTTTATATACTCTAAGCAAGAATATATTAATCTTTGCATACCTTATTAATTTACTTTGTAGATCTGTCATTTCAGGTATTTATTTAAAAAAGTCATAATGCCAAATATACTTTGATTATAATAGGTACTATGCTTTTTTTCTCAGATAGTTGAAGAGGATAAATTTACTTGCAAATTTTAGAAAAATATGCCTCCAAGAAATTCAAGCTTTATAATTTACATTTTTAGTGTATGCATATACAATAATGCTTATTTCTTTATTGAATATGCACTGAAAAGCAATTGAGATTAGTCCATTTGATAGAAATGTCGATAAGCTCATAAATCTGTAAGCAATTAACAAAAAGTTATTATTTGTATAGAAAATATTGCAGGAAAAAGAAATGGAGAAAGGTTTTATCTGTCATTTTTTCTGAGGAAGGAAGGTTTTTATGGAATTGTAAATTATACTGGTGAGGTATATAACTTGAGAATTGATACGAATTGTATTAGAAAATTTTCTTTCTAGATTTTGAGGGATTTCATGGAATTTCCCACTTTCTCTTTATATATAGTTTTAACTTACCAGAGAACTGGCAACACTTCATCTGAACAGCTTGTATAAGAGCATAGATGGATACAAAAAGTTTAATCAGTAATTTTCAAATTGTCATGTCATGAATAATAGATAGGAATGAAAGAACATAAATGACTGAGGATGAGGGCGAATGAGGGCAACTTATATTGTAAAAGCACACACAAGAATGGGGTGTGGGAGAAAGTTGTTTCTTACTGCAGTGGTCATTCAAATACAGAAGCGCTAAGAATGATGGCACATTTGTACTAAATACTCTCAACAGTGAGATGTTTCTGCTCATATTAAGAACAACAATTCTTTTTGCATTTAGAGCCGGAATAGGTAAATACTTGACATACTCATAAAGTGCTTGCAATATGCTTAAAATAGTCCTTGAATTTATTTTGATTTTCAAGATGGTTTTTATTTCAAGGCATCTCTTGAAATTCATGGCTTTAAAGTTTGGGAATGTTCACAGGTACGTCAATAATCATCCTGTTCACCCCACTCGACCACGGGCTCATCATTCATGCGCAGAATGAGGTAAGAAAGAAGCTGGAAGAGGTTCTGCCAGAGCAGGAGGGAGACATAGAAGGAGAGGCCGCTTACGTCCAGCTCACAGCGCGCGCCGGCGAAGGCCAAATCACAGACGCACTGGAACTTGTTCAGCAAGTCGTGGCATTGGCCTCCATTGAGGCAGGGATCGGAGGCACACTCATCAATGTCCTTTTCACACCTTGAAAACGGAAACAGCAGAAACCCGGGCCCCACTTCAATAAATTGGCTGTGAAATGAATGGGGAGGGAGAACTCTGGCCTGATTCACCTAGACCAGCGTGGTGTAATTGACCAATCCCCATGCCCTTTGTTGTATATGCTCGATAATGTGGGAGATAATCTTCAAAATTCCTTTCACAAATTTTTCTTTTAATGAAAATAATTTGTACACACACACACACACACACAGACGCACACACAGTTAATTAGAAAGAGAAAACAGGTGCAAATATCTGGAAACCAAGACAAAATGGGGCCATGCATAAGTCAACTTCTCCCTCAAGAGTGTTAGTGTCGTTGCCACCTTATGAAAGTTCAGTTTATCGAGGTACACGGGGACCAGGAGAGTGAGCTGTAGTTTTTCGACCTAGCGTCTACAGAGCAGACCTCCACTGCAGCTGTGAGGGTTCTGATGCATCAGTGCCCCCAGGCGAAGGGGTAAAGCCTCTCAGAAACAGAAAAATGTATTTGGTTTATTCTGAGAGATTTGGGATTATTATCCTTGGGAAACCCATTTTTAACAAAAAGCCAAAATAGATAATAGAAGCTTGCACTTGCTAATAAATCAGTTTCATAGCTAAGTGTAATATTTGCATGCTCAGGGAGAATGATTTTCAAAAGCCAAATTTTCCAAAAACAAATGACATCAATTCTAAGGTAAATAGAAACTTTCCTCTTCCCCAGGACACTGTCATTTCCCCCCTAATTTTCCATGAACTACTATGTGTTTTATTCAATCACTCATTGAGTAGATATTTATTTAGCACTTAACCATGTGCCAAACCCCCTGCTAGGCCTTGGGATAGACGGGTAACTGAGGCGTCTTTCTTACTTTGGGAAATTCATACAAAACCTCAGCTTTGGGAATCTCTATAGAGCAGCTCACAAGGTTGAGGTCCACTGTAAACAATTTTTCATTCCCCACCTCCTAAGAGGTAAGTGTGCGTGCCTGGGTCATCCACTAATCCCTAGGCTCAAACTGAAGGGATGAGGTGGTAGGTTGGGCAGGGCCAACCCAAGGCATAAAGGGAAAAAGATTTCTTCCCAGAAAAACAGCTCCTTATCCCCTTAGATACCAAGCATAGCTGAGACATTTTGTTTTCCTTTTTTGGCTTAGGCTTCTGGGCTGGAAGGAGACTCCTCTGATTAGACCGGAGCATAACTCGGCAGCTCGAGAGAGCCTGCCAAGTACTCCCTGCCCTGGGTGGGCCAGAGTATTCACAGCATCAATCATGTACAACCTGCCAGGGTGACAGCACAGAGTTGGAGGTCTAACCCGACAGAAGAGAAGGCAATTTGTTAGAGGACAGCTTTTCAATATCTTTGGACTTTATGGAAGTCACATCCCCCCAGGCCTTGGGAGACTGTCCAGTATTTTCTAGCTTTCCTCCAGCTATTCTTTCTCTACTTCTTATCTACTTCTCTTTTGAGCTGAACAGTGCACAATATACACACAATCATTATAAACATTATTGGAGCTTTCATTAGAGGTTATTAATAGGTAGAAAATCAAAACAAATAAATCCATTGGCATCCAGTGAATTAACTAATGATGGAGAAGGACTGTGAAAGCACAGAATCCATGGGACATGTGTTCACTATTTTAGAAATCCATTTTCAGTAGAGAAGTTTATCCGGATGAAAAGACTCCTGGGAGAGGAACAGAAATGCAGAGCTTCCTTTTCTTACCACATTTCAAGTCAACAATTTGAATTTAAATGCCAGATACCTTTCTTTTTTTAAAAAACAAATAAACGTTGGAGGAAAGGGAAATGTTTGTTGTAAATAGGAATAAGGTGTGAGTAGTGCAGAAAAATAAGCCAAGGCTTTGAATGAGTTCTGTGCATTGGCCATTAAACATTAATGTGCCATTAAGCATTAAATGGTGACATTGAAGGCTGGAAGTAACCAGCACTTAAATATATAGTTAAAGTGTTGTTCAAATTTTAGGACAAGAAAATCTTTGCAGTGTTTTTGATATATGTGGGATTGGAGGCCAACCGAATGGTCTCTGGGTTAATAATATGGTGCAATGAAAAGTGGAACGTGACTCTAGGCTACACAACTCCGTGCACATGGATACTCGGACTGCCTGTGCCGTTTAGAGCCAACCACTGAAAGCAAGCCGTGAAGGCTAGAGCTAGCTAGCCTTATCATTGAATGTCGGAAGGGAAAAATGCAGGTGTGGCCAAGATTGCCTGCTGTTTTGTAAATGTGACAAAAGAGCTGTATCTCTGTGGTGCCCAAAGAACTGGTTGAAAAAAAGAAAATTCAAATTAATCCAAACTCTAGTTGTTGTGGAGCAAAAATATACCCATTATTTTATTAACTACTCTTTTGGGGAAAATTAATTCAGTCAAGATCTCTTTGTCCAATGCGTTGGACTTGAACTGATCTAATTTGTTCAGAGGAAGTTTGATCAGAGATCAGTATTATCTTACCCTGCATGATATATGAGATGGAGGAGAACTCTTTCCCTTTTCTTTTAAGTGTTGCAAGTAAAGATTTAGTCATACATTTATGCTAGCACATCTACAGGTGAGCAGAGGCTTTGAAGGCAGTGCGACCTTGCAGCAGCACGTGTCTGGATTGGCACCTGACCTGTCACTTAACCTCTTGGCTTCCGTTTAGACAAATGCAAAATGGAAATAATAACAATTAGAGACAATAATAACACTAACAATAATAACAATTTGCCCAGTGCCTGGCATAGCACTAGAAAAAAATGGCTACGTATGTTACCTGCTGTTATAGTATCTCTACCTCGTAGAGCCCCAGTTTGTTACCATTCTGGGAACATTGATCCCCTTGGGAATCCGATAAAAGCTACAGAATACGCACCTTCTTGCACTTGCCCTCACCTCGGCCAGTCAAATGCATATGCAAATTTGCCTGCATGTTCAGCAAGTCACAGACCAAAACCAGCCAGCGATCAACCCCATACCGACAATCCCGGCATTGGGTACAGCAGAGCTGAAGGGTTTCTCTGGGAAAGGTAGATTCATCTGGATAAAGTGTGTATACTTTTAGGGTTGAAGGTAATTCTAGGGGCAATCTTTAAGGTTTATTACATTCTACCTTCACCAACAAGCGTGTCTACATCACGTACTAGAGTTAGTGGGACAGAAACACGCATCCAGAAGTACCTCTAAAAAAACAATATCACATTTTACTGTTTTCGAAGACATATTTCCTTAGTTAAGTCAGCTAAAAAAGCGTTCTTGACTTTGACCTAAACTGTAATTTTTCTTCTTTTTTATTGTTTGTCTCTGTCCGGACCTATATTTCAGCACGGATTTTCCTATGGGAACTGAGATGAAAATTTAGAGGAGAAATAAACTTTGCATAATCTCACTGTTGTTCAGCCCAGGCTTTTCCCCTACAAAGCTCTGCTGCGACTCACCATTCCCCAGTGAAACCTGGCCAGCACACACATTTTACTTCACCCTGGAACTCTGTGCAGTTGCCGCCGTTATAGCACGTGAGGTTGGTCTTCTCATTCCCACAGACTGCTGAGGGTAATCTGGTGTATCTACAGAGAAAAGTAACAGCCACACTGTTCACCTTGCTCATTTCATTTATGAAAACGTTTTAGAAAAGTTCATGTATATAGTCAGTGCCAAACTAACTAGGTACTCAGTCTGGCTGAGCCACGAATGCTTAACTGTGCTGTTTTGTTCCAGAATCACCTTCTCAGTCCACAGCTCCTGCTGGAGGGCTGCGCTGTTCGGAGCATGGCTATCCATTTTCCACTGCTACCCAGTGTTCATTCGTGAGATAAGATCTATGCCGGGTGGGGCGGGGGTGGCAATTAATTTAGCGCCGGAAAGAAACTTTCTATAGCTAGGGCCAGAGGAAAATTGCATCTCTATAAAGGCCAGGAAAAAAAGGACAGGACTCTGGTACCCAAGCCCTCATGTGATTTCTCCATTGCCTTTCACAGCTGAAGTCCAGTTGCCCTGCCAACACTTGCTGTCCCCATCTAATAACTCACAGCTCATCAGAATGCAAGCCATGTGCTGTCCAGGAGGTTTGTACACGGCACTCAGTGGTGACCACGTGTGAATTCTGAGCTTGGCTCTTTTGTTTATCAACAGAGCTCTATATATTAAGGAATCCTTATAAGGGTCAGAACAAATTGTTAGAAGCTAAGCAGAACTTTACTGTGTGATAAAATCCAGTGGTGTGAAGGGACTGGTTAAAAAGATTTTATGGTGTTCAGGTCCTTCGACCCACTGTGCATGTTATGCATGGAACTGGATACATAGTTAATATTCAGGGAATATCAGATGAATCTAATTTGTCCTGCTGTGCGTGCTGCAGCTAATATGGAGAAACCGGTCTATATGTGTCT